CATGGATTGGTAGAATCAACATCATCAAAATATCCATACTATCCAAAGCAATCTATAGATTCAATGCAATCCCCATTAAATTACCAACAGCATATTTCACAGATCTAGAACGAACGTTCCAAAAATTCATCTGGAATAAAAAAAAAAAAACCTTGAATAGCTGCAGCAATCCTGAGAAAGAAGAACAAAGTAGGTGGGATCTCAATACCAGATATCAAACTGTATTACAAAGCCACTGTTCTTAAAACAGCTTGGTACTGGCACAAGAACAGACATATAGATCAATAGAATAGAATAGAATAGAATAGAATAGAATAGAATAGAATAGAATAGAATAGAATAGAATAGAGAACCCAGAAATTGACCCAAAGCACTATGCTCAATTAATATTCAACAAAGGAGGCAAGAGCATACAATGGAGTCAAGACAGTATCTTCAATAAATGGTGTTGGGAAAATTGGACAGATACATGCAAAAAGATGAAAGTAGACCACCAATTCACACCATACACAAAAATAAACTCAAAATGGATAAAAGACTTAAACGTAAGATGGGAACCATAAAAATACTAGAGGAATCCATAGGCAGCAAAATCACAAACATGTCGAAGGAATTTCTTCTCTGATAATGCTCCTAGGGCAATGGAAACTAAAGAGAAAATAAACAAATGGGACTACATTAAAATAAAAAGCTTTTGCAAAGCAAAGGAAACCATCAACAAAACAACAAGAAGACCCACTGCATGGGAGAACGTATTTGCCAATGATATCACCGATAAGGGTTTAATCTCCAACATTTACAAGGAACTCATGAAACTTAATAATAGGAAGATAAACAATCCAATCAACAAATGGGCAATGGACCTAGACAGACACTTTTCGAAAGAGGACATACAGAGGGCCAAAAGACATATGAAAACATGCTCACTAATTATACGAGAGATGCAAATCAAAACGACAATGCGGTATCACCTCACACCTGTCAGAATGGCTATCATCAACAAATCAACAAACAACAAGTGTTGGAGAGGATGTGGAGAAAAAGGAACCCTTCTGCACTGCTGGTGGGAATGCAGACTGGTGCAGCCACTGTGGAGAACAGTATGGAGCTTCCTCAAAAAACTAAAAATGGAACTGCCATTTGACCCAGTGATCCCACTTCTAGGAATATATCCCAAGAAGCCAGAAACACCAATCAGAAAGGATATATGCACCCCTATGTTCATAGCAGCACAATTCACCATAGCTAAGATTTGGAAACAGCTTAAGTGCCCATCAGCAGATGAGTGGATTAGAAAACTGTGGTACATCTACACAATGGAATACTACGCTGCGGTAAAAAAGAAGGAACTCTTGCCTTTTGTAACAGCATGGATGGAACTGGAGAGCATTATGCTAAGTGAAATAAGCCAGTCAGAGAAAGATAAATACCACATGATCTCACTCATTTGTGGAATATAGAGAACCACATAGACTGATGAACAGGAACAGATCCAAAGACAGAGAAACAGCAATCAGACTATTAATCCCCAGAGGGAAAGTAGGGGAGGGTGGGGGTAAGGGGAAGAGATCAACCAAAGGACTTGTATGCATGCATATAAGGCAAACCAATGGACATGGACAACAGGGGGATGAGAGCATGAGTGTGGAGGGGAAGGTGGGGGTTAATGGGGGAGGGGGGGGAATGAGGACACATTTGTAATTCCTTAACTAATAAAGAATTTAGCCGAAACCAGTTTGGCTCAGTGGATAGAGCGTTGGCCTGTGGACTGAAAGGTCCCAGGTTCGATTCCGGTCAAGGGCATGTACCTGGGTTGCGGGCATATCCCCAGTAGGAGATGTGCAGGAGGCAGCTGATCGATGTTTCTCTCTCATCGATGTTTCTAGCTCTCTGTCTCTCTCCCTTCCTCTCTGTAAAAGATCAATAAAATATATTTAAAAAAAAAAAAAAAGAATTTAAAGATAAAAGAAAAAAAAATGTAATGGGCTTATCTGTCGAGTGTTTCCTTCCACGACCCGCGTGGAGTAGGGCTCGGTACCTGAAAGAGGAGCCGCACAACAAATGAGAGAAAAAGACACGAGATAATTTTGCAATATTGGAGGTCCAGGCGGGCAAGTCCAACTCAAGGAGAGGGACTTGCACCCATGCTCAGGCTGCTCCAATCTTTTATTGATCTGGAGTAGCCCTTAGGCAGGTGACCCCCCATTAACAGGCAGACTAGCCCATCAGCAAGGATTTACATAATAATAAATGGGGGAGTAGTTTCAGCCACCACTGTCTTGACAAACAGAGGTGGCGCCTAGCTCTGGGCTTTGCTAGGGCTTCAAAGGCACCCAGCCTTCGGGGGGTTTCGGGGAGTTCTCTGTCTATGCTTATCAGATAGTGAAGGCAATAAACAGTTTCCCACACTTATCACTGTTATTTTAAATCATTTAAATGTTATTTTAACTATTTAAATATTTTTAATTTCTTGGTTTCAATATGAACATGGTTAACATTGAGATGCACCAGTGTAACCCAAATATGCAAACCTCTTCCATGTCCTCAGTGACGTTTAGAATGTAGAGGGTCTTAAAATTAAAAAATTTGAGGAAAAAATTACATTAATAAACAAAAGCTCTTGACAACTAGATATACAGTTTTAAGAAACAAACAGTACTTTAGGCACTAATATGTTGCCTACCCCTACATGATATTTTCTAAGAAAACCAAACATGTTACTGTCATGTATTACAGTTAACCCAGTGACTCAGGACTGATCCTGGCCTACAAGCACTGCGTCCTGAAGCTGGAGAGGGCTGTGTTGGGAACTCAGCGTGTGTGTTCACCTCCGTTAACTTCACCTTCTCCATTTCAACCAAGATTTCTAGCCTCTGGCAATGAGACTTAGCACTGTGTGTAACTAAGTTCGCTGAGCTCAGCTGAGTCAACCGATCATGTTCTGTAATAAACAACACGTTTCTCTGGATTGCCCTTGTGAATCCATGTTGGTACCTAAAAATGATCATATATTTTTCCTTCTTTTAAAAATAATTTGGTGGATTACATATTCATTGTAGAAAATGTTGAAAATATAAACAGAAAGAAAATTAAAATGACCTCTAATTCCAATACCTAGAAATAACTACTGTTGAGATTTTGGTATCATTTCTCTTCCTTCCTCTCTCTCTAAAAATCTATTTTTTAAAATCTTAAAGAGAAAAACGCCCTATTAGAAAAAACTCTCTTATGGCAGCCTGTTATCTATAGGAGAAGGTTTAGAGGTCAAAGAACAGCTCTTTACAATCCAATTCCAACCTGTATTTCCAGCTTACCTCTCTCCCCAATTCCAGCCAAACCACACTGCTCATGTCCTAAAACATACAGAGCTGACGTTTTCATGCCACTGTTAAAGGCCTTTCTTCACTCTTCTGCCTAGAAAATTCCTACCCTTCAGAATCTAGCTCAAATAACACCTCTCTCTGTCACACTCCCTGAAGCCACTAAGCAAAACCGTATTCTCACAGCATTTTGTACACACCTCTACGAAAGCATTTATCATGTTGCATCATAATTAAATGCGTAACTCTTCTTTTCACCTAGAATTTAAACAGAACCTAGTTCACTGTAGATGGCAACTAAATTTTGAAAGTTCTGGTACCTAATAAAGTAAAATTGTATTTTTTAATTAGTTTTTTTAAACTCAACTATACAAAACTAGTTAGCTAAGGTCCATATAGTCAAGGTTTTTTTGGGTTTTTTTTTAATATATTTTATTGATTTTTACAGAGAGGAAGAGAGAGGGATAGAGAGTTAGAAACATCGATGAGAGAGAAACATCGATCAGTGCCCCCTGCACACTCCCCACTGGGGATGTACCCACAACCAAGGTACATGCCCTTGACCGGAATCGAACCTGGGACCCTTGAGTCCGCAGGCCGACGCTCCATCCACTGAGCCAAACCGGTTAGGGCTCAAGGTTTTAACATAAGTCATAAAATTAAAATAATTAAAAGGAATAAAGTTCATTTTCATATAAACTAGAAGTCACAAAGGTTCCTACACATTGAATTTAGTCACCCGACGCCTTTTTAAATAAAGAAGAAAAAGACTAGTATCCGGGACCGAACCTGAGTGATTTCTGGTAGTTAAGACAATAGGAATAATGATGTGCATCAAATATTAAGTGAGAGACAGAATCTAAAACAGCAGCATCAAAGGGCACAAGGATAAGAGGCAGCAAGTTACTGCTTAATGCCCTCAGAAAGTACTGCCCCTAATTCAGGTCACTCCTCAAGAGTAGTTTATTTCCTAAAAAGTACTAGTGGAACTTACACTTTTTACTTGTTTTAGATGAGTTAATCTTTACTTTCAATTGAATAAAACCAAATACAACTATACCCACACATATAATCAACCTACTTCTCTCCTAGTATGTAGCTTCCAACAACCAATAACAGGACAGCCAATATAGTTTTTGGTACTTAAGAATAAAAGAATATATAATGATCCCTCAAATATTTATTGAATTAACTTACATTTGCCAATATCTATTCTATTTGAAAAGTCACTTTACCTATAAAATAAATGTTATGTCACTACTTTTTATTTAAAAGTTATCTAAACTATTGCCTTAATTTGTCTTCCTATTATCCCATACTTACAATTTACCTAATATGCTACAGCTCCGGCAAAATCTGCCCTTATTATACCTCAGCTTAACACTCCATCCTCTTTCTTTCAAACTGTCACCTACCCACAAAATTTCATGATCTTCAGGGTCTCTAAAGGGCCTACTGCCTCCAACTCATCTTCATGATGGGAAGTCACTGACTTTTCAGAGGAAGTGAGGAACAGTTCAACATCCCCCAGGCAACCTTTTCTATAAACCCCACCTTGAAATCAAATGTCAGCTTTGCATTCTTGTTGACAGAAAATTAAAACCAGCTGAACTACTTCTACATGTTACCCATTCACGCAATCACAGACCTGCACCAACATTTGTGTAGTATTTCCATTACCTAGGCTGAGAATTCTCCTCATACATTCTTTCTTTACCCTCCTTGAAGAGGCTTATGGTCTGCTTAGTTTTCTTCATCAGATTCTCCATGAACACCCTAAAATACTCATTTTCTCCAAGTGTCTCCATCTTCCCCTCATATCTTGACAGGACAGTGCGCAGGTGCTGGTAGGTGTCTGGCAGCAGGTCTAGGATGTAAGGCGGGCTGTTCTTTAGCGCCAGCTTTGGGTTCTGACACAGCCGCACCACCTGAAACAAATGGAAAAGAAGGGCTATTACTTGGAGGATCTTAAGGACAATTTCCTTTTTTAAGTTTAAAAAGATATAAAATATGTGCTATTGCAGAAATCTGAAAAATGGATAAGAATACAAGAAATGATCAATAACTCCTCTGTCCATAGGCTATCAATTTACTTTTTAAAAAAATATATTTTTATTGATTTCAGAGAGGAAGGAAGAGGGAGAGAGAGAAACATCAATGATGAGAGAGAATCACTGACTGGCTGCATCCTACATGCTCCCTACTGGGGATCAAGTCCACAACCCAGGCATGTGCCCTTGACCAGAATCAAACCCGGGGCCCTTCAGTCCGCAGGCCGACGCTCTATCCACTGAGCCAAACCAGCCAGGGCCTATTCACATTTTTAGTGGTTCCCCTAGAAGGGTAAAACCATACGGGAGGCTACTGATTCCGACAACATGTAACAGACTAAACAACTGCAGCAGGAAGGCAGGGACGGTGGGGGACATCCGCACGCATGCCTAAAAGAGCCGATGAAACATGGCAAGTTCCTTCTGAACGCATGGCTTACTCCCTGAGCACATGAGGAAATTCTCAAGCTCGGCCGTGAAGATGGCCGCCGGGAGGTGAATCGGTGCTGGAGGGTGGCCTCTGAACCACCACTAGGGGACAGGATCAGAGAGGCTGTGGACCCAGGGAAGCATGGAGCTCACTGGCATACCCTTTCTTCTCAGATAAATTCAGGTCTCTCAGAATTTGCCAGTAATTTCTTTTTAATTTTTAAAAAATACGTTTTGATTGATTTCAGAAAGAGAGGAAGAGAGAGAGGAACATCCATCGGCTGCCCCATGCACTACGATTGGGGACCGAACCCACAACCCAGCATGTACCCTCACCAGGAATCGAACTGGCAACTTTTGGTGCACAGGGTAATGCTTACACTGTTATTGACAGAAATTAAAACCAACTGAACTACTTCTACATGTTACCCATTCAAGCAATCACAGACCTGCACCAACATTTGTGTAGTATCTCCATTACCTAGGCTGAGAATTCTCCTCATACATTCTTTCTTTACCCAGGTTGGTGGGGACTGAGGCAGAGGCAATTAGGGGTGATCAGGCCAGCAGGGGAGGGCAGTTGGGGGTGAGATCAGGCTGGCAGGGGGTTAGGGGCAATCAGGCCAGCAGGGGAGGGCAGTTGGGGGCAAGATCAGTCTGGCAGGGGAGAGCAGTTAGGGGCAAGATCAGGCTGGCAGGGGAGGGCAGTTGGGGGCAAGATCAGGCTGGTAGGGGAGGGCAGTTGGGGGTGACCAGGCTGGTAGGGGAGGGCAGTTAGGGGTGATCAGGCAGGCAGAGGCAGTTAGGGGCGATCAGGCCGGCAGGCAGAGGTGTTAGGGGCAATCAGGCAGGCAGAGAGGTTAGGGGAGATCAGGCAGGCAAGTGAGTGGTTAGAAGCCAGTGGTCCCACAGGGATCAGGCCTAAACTGGCAGTCGGACATCCCCCAAGGGGTCCCCGATTGGAGAGGGTGCAGGCTGTGCTGAGGGGCACCCCCCCTCCCTGGCACGAATTTCATGCACCGGGCCACTAGTTATCTATAAAAAAGTAGAGAGACAAGCTGAGGCCACTGAAGATGTTATTCAGAAAGGACTTACTTTTGGTACTGGCAGGCAGATAGGTTATGGACACTAGGAATCCCAGATCATCTTAATCCAGAATTGAGAAGATTTAAAAGCTGGGCTTCAGTCCTTAAAAAGACTGGTCTACTTCTGTTTCACCCTTACTCCTGCGATTTAGGTCCTCAGGGACCCCACCCAAAAACCTAGAGTGTTTCCCAGGGCCCTCCACTTTGACAGGCTCTAATTCCAATGTTTTGTCCTCCTTGGCTCAATCAGCAATGGCCTCATCGGCAAGGCAGCCTCAAACACCAGGCTCAGCTCTCTGAGCTTTCCTCACCTTCCAGAGTTTGGCCTCATAATTCCTCACTGCTTTTACAGCTTTTCTGTGTCGTCTAGCTTTTCTAGTTGTCGGCAGTATATTTAATTTGAAACAACCTAGTCTAACATTTGCAGAACTCTGACATCTTACTCATTATTTCACATTTTAAAGTACCTATATTTTTGTCACCAGAAGCTCATTATAAACCTTTGGAGATGTCTAAATGGTTGCAGTCTATGAATATACCATATCTTAATCATTGCCCACACTCTGTTTTATCATTTATATTGTTCTCAAGTCTTAAGTATTGCAAGTATCACTGTGATGAACATCCTTGGGTACTTCATTCTTCTATATATCAGACTGTTTCCTTAGGATAGATTCCCCCAGAAGTGGAATCGTCAGGTCCATCTAGAACAACTGCAAAATTCCCATTTAATGAATACTCAGCAGGGACTCTTTAAATGATGAGTGAGACAGTATTAAATTTCTAAAGCTAGATATACACCATTTCCGAAACTTTAAAGAACAGACCTACAGATAAGCCTAGCAAAAAAACATAAACTAATCAACAAAAATATTTAATGTATGATTATTTCAAGGCTTTAGGAAGTGCTCATCCTCTCAAGAATTTCAGGCCAAAGAGAATGGCACAGCCAAGAAAAAAGACTCCGCCTCAGAAGACAACTATCTTCTAAGCGCAACAGTGTCGAGAACTCACCCTTACTGAAACAAATACAGACAGCCCCTGGTGTGTCAGTGTCACGTTCTAAAACCGCACTTGTAAGCCAGCTGCTTACAACTCAGAATATATCTTACAGAATATACATTCACATATAAAATGTGAACAGGGTAGGTCCCGGGGTCAGTCCATGGAAGGAAGAAGGGGAGCTGGCACTAAGAGCAGGACCTGCAAGGATCACAAGAGGCATGTGACAGAAGGTTTTTATTTTCAGAGAAAACTGAACAGGAAATGGAATCTACAGCACAACTAGGAACTCTACACACATTAAAAGAAGACACATCTCCTTCCTCTCAAACAGGAAGAAGAGGAGTGAGGACAGGTCCAGAGAGAGACAAATGGAGGCGGTGAATTAAACAAAGTTGTACCTGATGGTTTTGATTTTTCTCAATGTATCCATTCAACAAATACAGGATGGGACAACAGAGCTTTACAGTTGTTTATTTGGGAAAATAATACAATAATTAATAAATAATAATACAAGAATAACTCAATCTGAGAGGAATAAGGCAAGAAACAACAATTTTTTAAAAAATCAACATGATAAACATCAGGTTCTATGCAGAGAATAGAGTAGTATAATAAGAAAATCCTGGATGCTTTAGAATAGTGAATAGGGAAAGCTTTCTGAGAAAAATTTGGGTTGAGAGTTTAAATTACAAGAAGGAGTTGGCCACGTAGACTCAGCAAAAGAGCAGCCCAAATAGAGGGAAAAAACTAACCCAATAGCCCTAAAGTAGAAACAGATTTGGACAGAAAGGTCAGCGAAAGAAAAAGGCAGAAAGCAAGGTGGAAAGGGTGGCTGAGACAAAGATGTGGAGCAGGCAGGAAATTAACAAGAAGGCATTATGATGAAGTCTAAAATATGTTTTTAAGTTTTCAATTAGAATTTAAAAGGGCCACCTGTTTGGTGTGACTCAGTGGCTGAGCATCCAGCCATGAACCAGGAGGTCACAATTGGATTCCCGGTCAGGGCACAGGCCTGGGTTGCAGGCGCCATCCCCAGTAGGGGGCCTGCAGGAGGCAGCAGATCAATGATTCTCTCTCATCACTGATGTTTCTCTCTCTCTCTCTCCCTCTCCCTTCCTCTCTAAAACCAATAAAAAAAATTTTTAATATCCTGTATCAGTCATTTACCTTTAGTAAGTTTCTTAACATCTGAGCCTCAATTCTCCTATCTGTAAAAAGAGATGATACCTACCTCATAGGAAAACATTTGTGAAAGAACAGTTTCCAATCAAGTAGGCTTTCAGTAAGTGCCAGTTCCCCTCCCCATGTCCACACAGCTTGCACACAGGGCAGGCAGAATTATCTATTGAAGATGCAATGGTAGACCTCACATAACCCTTTGCTGACTCCCAGAAACTGATACCATTATTCCGACCATCCTGGCCAAGCCACAGCTACCTTCCCAATTCTGCGTGGCCCCTGACTAACTGGTACCCAAGGAACAGAGAACAAACAGCGGGTCGCCCAAGGACAGGCTGATCAACACCCTACAAACGCTACAGGAACCACCCCTCAAAGGTCCAAACCAAACAGCTCCCAATAAAAGTATTTACATTTATATCCAGGGCCAAGCACACGAACACATGTATTCTTCCTAATTAAAGGCAAATGTATTAACGCCACGCAATCATGTTGAAATGTAATATTTGCCTAAAATCTCTGAAAAAAAAGATATATTTCCTTTCAGTAACAACAACTAAAAACTAAACTAACACTGTTCTGATCTCACATACATTGTCCAACCTTAACATGCAATCAGTAAGGGTTACTCTATCGCACTGCACAGTAACATGCCAGGTTCACACTATCACAAGTTTAAAAAATGTTCCCAAATGCTTGATCAATTTGCATTTCAAATTAGTACTCTGGACCTCTCAGGAGTGTTACATATCGCGCCTCAGAACAGCGGTTCCCAACCTGTGGGTCGCGGCCCCTTTGGCGGTTGAACGACCCTTTCACAGGGGTCGCCTAAGACCATTCTGCATATCAGATATTTACATGACGATTCATAACAGTAGCAACATTCCAGTTATGAAGTAGCAACGAAAATAATTTTATGGTTGGGTCACAACATGAGGAACTGTATTTAAAGGGCCAGAAGGTTGAGAACCACTGCCTCAGAATATGACCTTGTAAAAGATCATTTGTAGACTAAGTGTCTGACCAGGGAAATCAGCACTCCATGAACAACTTGAATCTCCAATGCAAACACAGACAATAAAGAAAATATATATAATCCCACTTCTAGGAATATATCCTAAGAAAACAGAAACGCCCATCAGAAAGGATATATGCATCCCTATGTTCATAGCAGCACAA